GATGGATGGATGGATGGATGGATGGCTAAGATCAGATTTTTCTAGGTTAAATTTAAACAATATTTCATTAAAATCAGATAAGTAATAAGGGTGCTACGACTGTTATAGTAAAAGATCAGGCTCATGTGAACAGTATGGATTTGTTGAAATAACTGAATGCATAGCAATGGCTCCTGGGTTTGCATGTCACTAACGATAGCGACTAATAGGGGATGTCTTATCCCGTAAATAAAATAGTCATGTAACGAAGCACAGAACGTAGAACCCAGGATTCAGGCGAGACAAATGGTGATTACTTAAAAGGTGATTATTTAAACAGAGCGGAGCGGGCTGAGGGTGCATGGTATGAGTGGCTGCGGCTGGGCACTGCCCATCACTGGAAACTCTGGTTGGAGAAAAACACAGGTAAGTGGCCATTAGAAACTGACGGAGGATGATTATCTATGTCAGTTCTTTACCTTTTTTATCAGTACGCGGTAGGATCCAGCCGGAGGCCTGCCAGCAAGATGTGGCGGCCGCCACCCAGAGTGTCCCTGATGCTGCAGTTCCGGAGGGCAAGCAGGAGTCCATGCCAGGTCAGAGAAACGGATCAGAACAGGAAGGCTCTGAGTTCCAGGAGCCCGAAGCATGATCAGGGATACAGATCAGGAACAGGAACCGGCTGGTTCAGGGTTCCAGGTGACCACAGAGAGCCCAGCCACCCTGTTCAGATAGGAACAGGCAAGCTCAGTGGTAGAGAGGCTGAACAGATCAGGATGTTAGGAACACTACGGTACACTAAAAACTTGCTCCTTCCACTGAGCGAAGGCAAGAACAGGGCACAATCAGTAGATAAGAGGCAGATCAGGATCAGGAAATCAGGAACAGGAAAATGCTAAAAACCTCTCATCACTGGCCCCCGAGAACAAGAACATGAACTATGGCATCAGCAATGATCTCAAACTCAATGATGGCCATTATGGTTGGGACTGAGTGGTATATATGGAAGCAGGAGCAGGTGGATTAGATAAATAGTAATTGCAGAGTTAGGCAGGTGAATGAAATGAGCAATTAGGCCAGCCCTCAGAGCCATGATCATGACAAGTCATGCTCTAATAAAGCAAACTTGGGGAAGGATCTTTGTCCTTCATGAGCTTTACATTGAAAACAATAAATAAATATTTAGCATTCACATGAATTTAGTCTTCAGTCACTTTTGACTTGATCTGCTTTTTGCAAATAATCCTCTGTGTCATGAACCGAGGACAGATGGACCCAGTATTCAAGGCGAGACAGTCAGTAGGAAAGTTCAAACGTTTATTAAATAAAACAAAACAAAAGCGGAGCTGTGGCTCGCGGACACTGCAGGCAGGGGGGCGGGGCACCGCCCAATCTCAGACACTCTAGGGGAGAAAACACAGGTAAG